CCAGGCCTGGAGCAGCCAGACCTGGGGCAGTGGCAGCCAGGCCTAAGGCGGAGGCAGCCAAGCCCAGGGTGGCCATTCCAGGAACACCCAGGCCCGGAATGGCCGGGCCCAGAGAAGCCGGGCCCAGAGCAACCGGATCGGGAGCAGCCAGACCCAGAACATCAGCAGCCAAGCCTGGAGCATCCAGGCCGGGAGCTTCCAGGCTCGGAGTGGCCGGGTCTGGGGCAGCCAGGCCCAGAGCAGCCAGGTTGGGAGCAGCCAGGCACAGAGCAGCAGCAACCATGCTTGGAGCAGCCAGGTCAGGAGCGGCCAGGTGGGGAGCGGCAGTGGCCAGACCCGGAGCAGCTGGTTGTGGAACGGACCAGAGCAACAGAGGCCAGGCCCAGAGCAGCCAGGCCCGGAACACCTCACTCCTCGCCTGCCTCCATCCCAAGGCTGCCTCTCAGACATGGCTGGAAACTTTTGGGGGAACTTGAGGATCTGCTGAATCAAATGAGGAAGGCTTAGATCTGGATGTGTTGAGTTAATATAGCGTTGGGGTGTTGATCTGTGAGTGCCTTGTGTGGGGCCTGGATGAGGTTGGATGATCTATTTGGAAATGTCTTTGTGTGAAGTGTATCCCTGGGCATGTGAAGGTATTATTGATTTGAGAAAATGCTAAGTAACTGATTTACTATCTGAAAAATTTAAAGTTCTGAAAGTTTAAGGTCTCTTGCCAAAAAGAGGTTTTAAAGCTAACACCTTAATTTTAATGGAGAAAGGGAATGACAAGCCCTTCCCACCCAGAACAGGTAATCCAATTCCAACCAGCAGCTATGTTTAAACAATGTGTCCATTTACACTTGAATGGCTACACCTTTGGATAGCCTAAGGGCAAGTTTACATATAAACAAGTTTGCTCTCAATTCCCAGGGCAGAAAAAAAAGACAAGGTTTAAAATTACTAGATTTTAAAATTTATTCTTAGAAGTGTAAAAGTTCATTAATTAAAAAAAAAAAAAAAAAAAAAGGAGATTGAAAAACCTGATGAACAATAATAGCGGTTCATTGTAGTAGACTCTGTGATATGGGAGGGGAGTCCACTGACTGTTCTGGGGGAAACGGAGGGAGGAAGAGACTAAACATAAACTGTGCACCTATGATGAGGACAATGGGGGGTGGGGAGGGGGCGGAGGGTGGGGTGGGAACCTGGTGGAGGGGGAAGAAATGAGGAACCTTTGTAATAGTATGATCAATAAAGATTGATTTAAAAAAAATGCATACAAGTAGGAGAATCATGAACCAATAAAGTAACATTTGTAAATTAAAAAAACAAACAAACAAAGAAAAAAAAAACTAAAATAAACTTTGGGAGGAAAGAAAAAACAATCTATTCTAATAGTAGTGTCTTCCCTTCCTTGTATGTAACACTTAAATTACACATGAATGGCCAGCAGAGGGAGCCAAAGCCATGCATGGACATTTTCTCTTTTCTACATAGCTTTTAGGAAAATGGATTAAAAACTACAAAATGCAAATAAACCTCTTCTGTTAAAAATATATGCAAAAATAATTAAAATATATAATTATTTTTTTATATATTTTTATAAAATATGTAATTATTTTTATTTTTATTGCTACTCTGCCACCAAATACTGCATAGAAAAGTTCAAAGCTAGAATGAGATTCTGAATTTCAAATAGTTCAAAGAAGCAACATTCCTCCCTCATTTCCTTCCTCATTCTCTCCTCTCTCTGTCTGGTACATGTTTGGAGTCACTCCTCCAAAGCTAGGTAATTTGTATTCTGTTTCTGCGGAAACATTCTGTGTGTTGTGTCAACACTTTTCCACTTTTCATTTCTGGGAGCATATTGGTTCATTCTAGTTCCAGTTGTAAGGTTGAGTAAAACCAGAATACAACATTTTATGGCAGGCTAGACCCCGAGGTAGGTTTTGTTTCTCAGGAACAGACCAGCCTGACCAGGAGGAATGACCTACAGGAACAGACAGGCCTGACCGCTGTGGAATGCACCTGCGGGAACCAACCACCCCAGGGATGCCGCAATGGCAAAAGACCACTTACGCAAGGGAATGGGGGAGCGGAATAGTCAGAGAGGAAGGAGTGGATGAGACAGTTTCAAGTATAGCTAAAAAGCTTTGACGTTGTAAATAAAACAAATCAGACAATTTTGTAATGTGGAGAGAGGCAGGCAGACTAAATAGAGACCTCAGACACAGTTGCTGAAAGAATGAATGAACAAATGATCACTAAGTGATGTATCTATTAAGCATGCACAGCTATTAAATGCATTATTGAAGAAAAACAAATTCTGTCCCCAATCTCTTTGAATTTAGTCTATCCCACCTACGCATTGGCCAATTTAAAAAGAACAGACAGCTTATACAAGAGAGGGGGTGGGGGGAGAAAAAAGTCTGCTAAAAATATAAACACAAAATAAACTTCTTATTATATAAGGATAGTGATGATGAGAGAGTCATTTTCCTCCCACAGAATGAAGACAAATACTGTGGAAAAAAGCAGAAGTTTAGGAAATATGTGAATATGAAAAAGAATATTCCAAATTTGGGATTAAAGTATAGATTCTGAAAAGGAAACAAAGCATGAAAACTGCTTAGGCTAGCTCAGATATATGTACCACTTTCCTAAATAATCAAAAACTGTTATAGACCCCATGGAGAGTGAAGGCAGACGGAAAAGGCAGAAAGGAAAGAAACAAGAATGAAAAGTTTTTCTTTTCATTATTTTATACAAGAATGTGAGCTAATCTAAAGTACTCGATGCCTAGAACATACTAAAGGTCAATAAAGACTAGACAACCAAGAAATCCACACATCGAATGGTACCTGCTCACGGGGCCCTTGGCTGTACAGCCCGACAGGGCATTCTTGGCGGTGTTTCCTATGCCGTCTATGATGTGGAAGGCAGCTCCTGCATGTAAGCCACAAACAGCCTTCATAGCCAAACATGCAGCCCTGCTCATGTCAATGTTCATGTTTCCTAGGCATTATAGAACCACAATCTTGATATCCACCAAATATCCAAATTGGCCTTGTTCACCTTCCAGAAAAGCAAATAAATATATAAAGGAGAGGTCAAATGATGTTTCCATCAGTTAGCATCCCAAGGCTTATAGCTGAAATGGATCCAGGATACTGTGTGTGTGTGTGTGTGTGTGTGTGTGTGTGTGTGTGTGTGTGTGTGTGGGTGGCAGGATGGGTGGGTGGGTAGGGGGAGGGGAGTACAAAAGGATTGTCTGGACACTATGGCTATTCTTTAATTATTACAAATTAGACCCAGATAAAACCATTCTGCAAGCTTAGGTGATATGGCATTCCAATTTGTATAAATTGGTACAGGACGACTTGTCTAAATTCTTTAGTTTGTAACAGCTTATATTTAAATAATCTTCTGTGAAATAGCTTTCCTTACCATTTATATACATATTCATTTAGACACCCTGTCAGCATTCAAAGATAAAAATCCTAATACAATGACAAGACAATTTCCTTAGTTAATGTAATCAGATAGTGTGGCTATATTCTCTGTTAACCTGAATTTAGTTCAAATAACCAAAGAGTTTTGTTCACTCTGTGATAAAATTAGACACTTGCAAAATAGGTTTCTGACAATTCACATAAATTTACTTTTGCAATAATCATTTAGTGCATGAGGCTTTTTAAAAATGCATAGAATTGGCATTAGGTCAGGATGAAATAACACGATTCCCAAAAAAGTTCTCCATCAAATGTCTTACCAGGTCTCCATGAAAGCAGTATGAGGTATCTGCTTAATAACTGCTCAATTCATTTTACCTTATTTTATTTATTGCTTTGGAAATTTACCAACATAATTAGCCGACACACTTTTTAAACCAGATTATCTCATCTAATGATTAAGACTGAATGACAAGAGGAGACAAAAGGGAAAGGTACTTTAGTGTTATTTTGCCTAAGATTCTTTTTTTTTTTTTTTTAATATGAGAATTGGACAACTAGTGATAAGGCAGTGTTTCTCAAACTTACCTGCTCCTGAGACTTACCTGGGGAGCTTGTTTTAAAATATGAATTCCCAGGTCTCATCCTTAGAGGCAGAGATTCCTGAGGTTTGGGACGGGGCTGAGAAATGTGTATTATTAAAAGCACTTGAATGCGTTTTACAATCAGGCAGACGTGGGAAATGCTTGGTGCCGCGCAGAGAACACTGGCCTAGTATTGGGGTTCTAACCACCAAGGTTGCCAGCTCCTCCATGTGTCCTTAACAGAGTCATTTTGGTGTGAATTTCCTCCGTTGTAGAAACAAAATAAACAAACAAGATTGGTTATAGTCTACAAACTCTGTGAAGACAGGAAGCAGCTGGGTTTCACTCACTGCTCCATCCCTGTGCCTAGCTCGGGGCCTGGCACAGAGAAGCCTCTTGGTTCATGGTTGCTGATTAGTTTATTATTTAGACAACCTGTCAGATTACTTTCAATGTAAAAAATCATGTGTTTGTAAAATAAGTAAGTAATAACATAATGCATTTGGTTAGCCATTGATAAAAAATAACAATTACTCTCAAAATAAAACATAAACCAAGAAAGCCCCCTAATCCTTTTGACTGGTTTCAGGGCTGCACGCTCCTGGTAGGCATTTCAAAGGGTCTGATTCCGGTGATCTGAGTTCCTATCTTCCTCAGTTGCCGTGATGATCATTTGTAATGAACTGGAAGTACTTAGCACACTGTTTGGCTCAGTAAAAGTGAGTTGAATCTGGCAAACTTAGTAAATTCTGTAGGAAACAGAGTAAGTTCTCCTGCTACACACACAGGGGTACTGTAGTCAAAACAGGACTTCTAAAATTTTTGTTATGTTCGTCTCCAAACATATTGTGAAATAACAAGCCTAGAATTCTCAGGACCCTTCCCTGGGACACGTGGACTGTGCAGAAATAAATGCTTTTGAAAATGATTATAGAGGGAAAATAAACCCTTGAAACGTTTACTTTAAAATTAAAACGCTGAATAATGTTTTAAAGCATTTATTCAATTATCTACTTAAACCCTTCCATACATTACATATCTAATATAACTTAAGGAAATGGTTCTCAAAAGCTGGCCCCACACCAGCAGCATCGATATCACCTCAGAAATGCAAATTCAACCTAATGAATTATAGACCTGGATGTAGGATAATAAAAATATATGATACAAGTCTACCAACTTAAGGTAAATGGGACTATAAAACCAAATACAAAGACAGCTCAACTTTCTATAAACGTCCCACAATGCATCAGATTTGAAAAAAACACACTGCATATATCTATTCAACTGCATAGCAATACACTTAATTAACAAACATACAACAAACTCACATTTGTATAACAACTTAAGTTTTCTTCTTTTGAAAACAAATTTTGAGATACTGAGCCTGAAATGAAAACAATGTAAACCACTGGCTTTTAGGATACGCAAGTCCTTATTTCTCAACTTTACAAGTAAAAATATAAATTTTTAATAAAAACATTACCAAATTTAATTTTAATATTATTAAAGTAATAATAACAAATGAGACTGTGAATATGCAAAGTCATAAAGTTTGGTCCTTTTTTTAAAGTCCAAATAGCAATTCTGATTTAGAATTAGTGATGTGTACAATTCTAAGGATAACTAGATATTATAAATGTATGATTCTGTGTTAAAAAACAAAACAAAAACCTTTTACCCTCAAAATTCTGAAAACCTTAAAATTACATTTTCTCAGATGTACCAGCAGAAAGGAATGAGATTTTAAGTTTGAGGACAGAGTAGAGAAGGAAGTATTGATGAGAGAAACAGAGATCCATCCACTATCACGGTCTTCTACCCACGCAAAGGAAAGAATTTGAGAAGACACAGTAAAAAGGTTATAGAATGACTGCCCATTCTACACTGTATTACAGCTTTGGAGAACACGACTCTTAAGTATGTTTTTCCAACATTTCCCCCCCAAGCCCTACAGTTCACCAAGACAAATAAATGGGTTGTCTTAAATGTAAAGAAGAAGAAACAAATCAATTCACGTGTAGCGGCTCCTAGTCAGGAACACTGAATGGCAGGGTGCTGATGACCTCTCCGGACTCGGTGACTATGGCGTCGTAAACCCACTTGCGGCTGCAGCGGCACTCCGGCCCACACTTGTTGGAGTTGCACTTGGGGCAGGGGTAGAAGCAGCCCAGGCAGTTCTTCTCCAGGCAGTCGCACAGGTCAGCGTCATTACAGATTAGCCTGCCACTTTTGTCATACTTCTTCATAACTCTGCAAGGGAAAAGAAGGACACTAACACAACAGTGCAATGTTCCTCAACACTGAGGACAACTTATTATGCAACAACCTCATTCATGCGATCCCTTTACTCAGAGGAAAGACTCCTGGAGATTACCAAGCAACACTTTGAAATATGACATGGCAGTGATGTTCTGGAAAATAGAGCCAATGTGTGTTGTATAGTTTCATCAACACTGATATTATCAGACTAAACGCTTTGCTGTCTGGGGAATGGGCACTTCTCCATACGTTACTGATGGGGCTCAGTATCCTGAGTGTTTATTAGTCTTTTCTTCTATGAAATGTCTGTTCATTATTTGGTTCATTTTTTTCTCAGAGGAAATTTACCTTTTTTAAAAAAAACTTAACTTGTAGAATTCTCTGTCGATTTGGAGCACTAATCGTTTAAATTATAAATAACTTTTCCTACATTGTGAGTTGTGTCTCATTATTTTAGGGTGTCTTTTAATGGTTATAAATCCTTAATTTCAAAGTAGTAGAATTTATCAAGTTATTTCTTTATGGCTTACTTAGCTTATACTTCTGATGCATTAGCAATCATTGTATTTATGATACTTTGTGCCCATTTGATATCTGAATCTATTCCCATGGTTACATTATTTCTCCTTCAAATGACGTATCTTACTTACTTTTAATCATTTTTCCTATTAAATTTCTCTGAAGCCTTTTTTTGAAATTGAATTCTAGCTTGGGATTATAGTTTATTTCTTGAAGTTACTAACTTCCAGACACATTGGGTGATACTGTACTTTAGAAAACATATATTTAAATCATAAACAAGAGACAACCTTTAATTACTTTGCTTTGTCAAGTAGAACTCATGCATTTTATTATCCCAGAGATCAAATAAAATAAACTATGATCTTACTTGTAATTCACAGAAAAATACTCATTCATCTTTGACATCCGGGCTTTCTTTTTCTGCTGTCGTGTTTCAGGATTAAAGTCTGCTACCTGGGGTCCAGGGTTTTGAAATGCCAAGCATCTTAACTGCCGCTCTATCTGTTGCTATGAGACAAATAAAATGTATTAGCAGTAAGAACTGGATAGCTTTATCTATTTACCTTGTATCAAAATAAATTTTCAGTAACGTTTACCATAATGGCATGAGGGACAGATACTGTTATCTAGAGAAATAACCAGTTAAACCTAATTAAGTTCAAGAAGATGATGTAAATTTCCTCAAGTTACTGAACAAAGAAATCCATAGTATAAAACATATGTAAAAACAAACAAACAAATGGGAACATAATTCTTTTTATTCCTGCAAAACACCAGCTGGCTTCTCAAACACGGTGGGGATGAAAGTGAGAATTAGCATTTTATGGTAGAGAAGGACAAAGGAGCAAAGGCCTTTCCACAGCTGTCCGCCGAAGAAGCCCAGGTAAACCGTGTCACCTCACAGAGAGCCCAAGGACACACAGTCCTCCCTCCGGTGCTCTGGGACCTTTCAGAAGGACTGGCACCCCGCGAGTGTGTGCTCTACCAGGGCTCCGATGCAGGCCACAGCCAAAGGAAGTTTACACTCTCAGTCAAAGACCGATTTGAAGAGGAAAATCTTTCTAAAATGGCTGTCTAGAGTGTTAGCATAAATTTTCAAGAGTCTCTGTTTGGGTTTATTTATAATTCCAAATTAAATGGGGCCTAGTCAGGAACACAAGTAACAAAGATGCTTTAAGCCAGCGTTTTTCAACCGCTGTTCCGCGGCAGACTAGTGTGCCGCGAGATGTTGCCTGGTGTGCCGTAGGTGCAGACAAGACAAGAATTTTATAATTTTTCACTATTTTGTTTACTTAATATTTCATAATAAAGTAATTATAAAATACTTTCTTTGTGTTTATTTGATTCCTATTCAAGAGAATTACTTTATATATAGTCAATATAGGCACAGAGTTAAATTTTTTAACATTTTCTAATGGTGGTGTGCCTCGTGATTTTTTTCATGAAACAAGTGTGCCTTTGCCCAAAAAAGGTTGAAAAACACTGCTTTAAGCAGTCCTGATGTCCTATTTTGAACATGTGTTATATATGTCACAAGGGAAGGGAATGCTCTTTTAAAGGATTTTATAAAGATAACCTTCTCCATTTAGGACAGACAGATGCCCAATAGACATATGAAAAGATGCTCAATATCAGTAATCATCAGGGAAATGCAAATAAAACCACAATAAAATATCACCACACACTCAGAATGGCTATCATCAATAAATCAACAAACAATAAGTATTCGCAAGGTTGTGGAGAAAAGGAAACCCTGATGGACGGTTGGTGGGAATGCAGATTGGTATAGCCACTGAAATACAGTATGGACTTACCTCAAAAAGTTAAAAATGGAACTGCTCTGGGTATATATCCAAAGAAACTTGAAACACAACTTGAAAATTGAAAAATAGATGTGCTTCCCTATGTTTGTTGCAGCGTTGTTTATAATAGCCAAGATTTGTACAAAGCCCAAGTGCCCATCAGTAAATAAGTGAATAAGAAAGCTGTGGTAATTTACACAATGTAATATTACTTAGTCTTAAAAAATAAAGAAATCTTAACTTTTGTGATGGACCTGCAAAGTATTTTGCTAAGTGAAATAAGCAAGTCAGAGAAAGGTAAGTACCATATGATTTTGCTCATATGTGGAATCTAATGAGCAAAATAACCAACAAAATAAAAAACATACTTATAAATACAGAGAATACACTAGCAGCTGTCAGAGGGAAGGTGTTGGGGTGGGAACTGGGTGAAAAAGGTGAAGGGATTAAGAAAGAAAAAAAAAACCTCATAGACACAGACAACAATAAAGTGGGTAACAGGGAGGATAAATGTTGATGGAAGAGATTTTATTTGGGGTGGTGAACACATAATACAATATGAAGATGATGTATTATATAGTTGTATACATGAAACCTATATAATTTTATTAATCCATGTCATTCCAATAAATTCAATAGAAGAATTAATAAAAATGCTGAAACTGAGAGGCACAGCGGAGATACGTGAGGTGCAACCAGCTTAGTAGTGAGTAGAGTGAAGAGGAAGAAAAGCCCCATCATTATGGGGAGGAGGCAGAAATCCTTTGTAAGGAGTCCTGAGTGAGCCCACCTTTCCCTGCAAATGTGGGGCCTCTCAGGAACCCCTATACTAGAAACTCCTCAAATTCCATGGAATCGTAATATCCACATGCCATACCAGCTGCTTTTGTCCCATGTGACAGTTTTTCTCAGGAGTACTTTGACCTGTGTGTCCCTCTTCAGTGGAATTGTTTTTTTCTGGCTGTTCATTCATTTCTGATCACTAAAAAAAGGAGAGAGAAAAAGGTAAAACACATTAATTTCAGGCATCCTCAGTAACTTAATCCTGTGACTTTCCTCCTACATCTTTCTTTCAAAGCCAGATCTCCACCTGTACACCTGGTTTCTCTTTCTTTCTTTCTTTCTTTCTTTCTTTCTTTCTTTCTTTCTTTTTTTTTTTTTTTTTTTTTTTTTTTTTACCACTCGTTCTTGTTTGTTTTGTTTGTGCATTTATCTTGATTTTTATGTTCCACATATAAGTGAAATCATGTGGGATTTATCTTCCTTTGTCTCACCACTCACTCTCAAATCTTGCACCTGACTCTCCTGCCTGCTTTACTGATGCTCTCCTTTGCCAGTGTTCCATGAACAAATCAATGGCACCTCTTACTGTTCTTATTATCACAGACCTCCCTGGAGCAGGCAACACCAGGACCACCCTCTACTGGTTAACAAATCTGCATTCTTAGACCTCTATTTTGCCCCTTTATCCTCCCTTAAAAAAAGGTAAGACACACTAATGTTATACATCCCAGTAAGTTTGTGAAAATCTTATCCGCTCCCAGGGTTTCAGTTGTCTCTTCTTCAGAGACCATTCCCCAGGCTGACCTCCTGAAAATGTTCTAATACAACTTGTGCTAAATGGAATAAATCTTAGAGGCTAAAATGCACTAATTAGCAAACACAGGCGGCCAAATCACAGAGATAAACACTTGCAAACTGGGGAATAAATCAAACTGCTCTACACATCCCACTGACCTATCTCTTTCCTAAAACACTTTAGTTTTTTCCTTTTCCCTTTCGTTTACTTGGAGTTGACTAGTTCAGACTGAGTTCTGGTTTCTCTCCCCTATTACAATAGCCTTGAATAAAGTCACCACTGTCTGTTTAACTTAGCCCAGCACAATTTTTGCTTTGACATTCTCACATGCAGTTTCTTTTACGTATATATATATGATTTTTTTTTTACAGAGAGGAAGAGAAAGGGATAGAGAGTTAGAAACATGGATGAGAGAGAAACATTGATCAGCTGCTTCCTGCACACCCCCTACTGGGGATGTGCCCACAACCAAGGTACATGCCCTTGACCAGAATTGAACCTGGGACCTTTCAGTCCACAGGCAGATGCTCTGTCCACTGAGCCAAACCGGTCAGGGCATTTCACATGCAGTTTCTCATCAGACCAATATTCCTGTGGAGTATTTTCCAACTTGTCTGAAGATAAAATCACATGGACCAGTTTTAAAAATGACAAATCGCAGGCCTACTGGGGATATAAATTGCAGAACAGAATCTTGGTAACCTGAATAATTAATCAGCTCTCCTAGTGAATCCTATTATCAGGCAATTATGGAAAATGCTACAATAGGGAAAGCAGAGATAATTTTATCCATCCATCTTGCCATCCTATCTAATAAAAGAGTAATATGCAAATTAATCATCACTCTGCCCAAGCCACACCCACCATCTAATCAGAGAAACTATGCAAATTAACCCCAACCAAGATGGTGCAGCCACAGAAAGCAGTTGAGAGGCTTGGGTTTCAATAGAGGAAGCCAAACTTTCCACACACCCTGGCCAGCCTAGGCCTCCACTCAAGGATACAAATTTTCAATTAAAGAAAATAAGTTCCAAGGAAAATGGCGGCAGCCACAGCTCTGGAGCTGGAGAGAGCAGGCTAGAGTTGCCTCTGGCAATGGAGGAAGGAAAGCTTTCCAACTCTCCTGGCCCGGCCTAGGCTTCCACTCAAGGCTACAAAGTTTCAATTATAGGAGATACATAAAACCAAACAAATGGCAGCAGCCACAGGGTAAGCAGGGGGCTTGGCTCTTCTCCAGGCTACAAAGTTCCAATTGTAGAAGGTAAATAAATTCCAGATACCAGGGCCTCTGCTTGGGTCACCAGGGGGCATGGCTGGACTGCAAACCACCAAAGGTCCCTCGCCCAGGCCACCCCACACCCCAAGGGAACCCCCACCCTGATCCAGGGCACCCTTCAGGGCAAACCAGCTGGCCCTCACCCGTGCAACAGGCCTCTATCCTATCTAATAAAAGAGTAATATGCAGATTGACCATCACTCCAACACACAAGATGGCTGCCCCAATATGGTCAAAGATTCTGTCCCCATGTGGACACAAGATGGCCACCACAAGGTGGCCAGCAGGGGAGGGAAGTTGGGAGGAACCAGGCCTGCAAGGGAGGGCAGTTGGAAGCAATCAACCCTGTAGGGGAGGGCAGTTAGGAGTGGTCAAGGCCGGCAGAGGAGGGAAGTTGGGGGCAAACAGGCTGGCAGGGGAGCAGTTAGACATCAATCATGATGGCATGGGAGTGGTTAGGGGGTGATCAGGTTGGCAGGCAGAAGCGGTTAGGGATAATCAGAAAGGCAGGCAGGTGAGCAGTTGGAAGCCATCAATCTGGGTTGTGAAAGGGATGTGCACTTGGGTGGAATCAGGTCTAAACGGGCAGTTTAACATCCCCCAAGGGGGTCCCAGATTGGAGAGGATGCAGGCAGGGCTGAGGGAAACGCCCTAACCTATGCATGAATTTTGTGCACCAGGCCTCTAGTCTGATTATAAAATTATTGTCCATATTTTCTTTCCAAACCCAATTCAACTAAAAACATGTAGTCATGTTGATATTCCTGCATCAGAAATTTCTTTATCTCATTCTTATTAAAAGATTTCCCTGACTCCCTCTGTCAATAATGTTCTGCATCTCTGGCATCAATGAAGATCCATCACAGCCATCTTCACTCTACCTGTCTAGGCTCATATTCCCTCACTCTTTCACTGGGACCAAAGCTACCTGACCTTTCCACTTCCACGAACACACTTCCATCTCTTACCTAACTGAGCCTTTCCATTTGAACTCAGATCTACTTCTCTGCTCCAAGAAGCCTCTTCCATCTCTTACCTAACTGAACCTTCCCATTTGAACTCAGATCTACTTCTCTGCTCCAAGAAGCCACTCTAGAATTCCAAGATCCCTTTCTCTCTTGGGCTCTGTTTATAGCTTCCTCAAGAAAACTCCCCCCAGCCGAAACCAGTTTGGCTCAGTGGTCGACTGGAAGGTCCCAGGTTCGATTCCAGTCAAGGGCATGTACCTTGGTTGCGGGCACATCCCCTGTAGGAGTGTGCAAGAGGCAGCTGATCAATGTCTCTCTCTCATCAATGTTTCTCTCTTCCTCTCTCTCCCTCTGTGTAAAAAATCAATAGAATATATTATAGAAAGAAAGAAAGAAAAAAAAAGAAAGAAAGAAAGAAAGAAAGAAAGAAAGAAAGAAAGAAAGAAAGAAAGAAAGAAAACTCCCCCAAAGGGATATATATGACCTTGTGATCACCTTTGAAAGCAAAAACTGTTCCTGAGGAGGTATATTTTATGCAAATACTCTCCCTGAGATGCCTTTGTTTAAGTCGTTGTAGAATGTTGGTCTCCACAAATAGATTAGAGGAAAAACTTGCTCCTTTGTATTCCAAATAAAGCAAAAGAAAATTATAATAGAACCACAGCAGGGACTGAAACTATAATTGGATTTATTACAAGCCCAAAATATCTGTCCCAAGAAAAGTAATAAAAAGTTTCAGAACTCCCCCTTTTCCCAGCGTGGTATTCCCAAAGCAAGGGTTCTTAACCAGAGAGTGAATGCAGGGGGCATTATAAATAAGAATATATATATATACTTATTTTCACTAATCTCTAACTAAAATTCTAGCATTTCCTTCTATTATAATGCAACCAACAAACCTCAACCCTGTTAGCAATGTATGTGACTAAGTTACCTATGAAAGCACAGATGGTTTCATAACCCATCAGAGTAGTTATAGGTAGGTCAAAATGTTATTTGTGCCTATCACTTCTTCAAAATAATGGTAATTCTTAGACTAGATGCTAGATTTTGTTATATATTAATAATGAAACACAATCAGAACTGTCACAAATTGTTTTTAACATTTTGAAAAGTGTTAGACTCCAGAGCAGAGACAATGGGCCAGGTATGGAAGCTCACCAGGTACAGCTCATCAGATGCCTGGCAAGTGGCAAAACTGGAAAAACAAGAACCTCACCCTAGGGTAACCTTTCCTCCCCTAGCATATCTCTGGTCCTGAGGATTGGACCTCCCACACCCCCGACCTTTCCTCCATAAAGATAACATCAAAGCCTCAGTTGTATTTCAGCTCCAGGCCCAGAAAAGCAGCAAAACCAGACAAGTGATACTGTGGCTGCCTCAGGACCAGCCAGCTACATTGGTCGGACCAGCCTTGGCACCTACTAATTATCAGTGGAGACCACAACCCTGAAAGAGCATAGCTGGAAAGCTGATAAATATTCTATTAAGACCCTCCTCTGTTACCTCCCCTAAGATTTCCACCTGTAAGAAAGAGATAAACACGCTCAGAACAAAGGACCCAGCGAGGAGCACCCCCCACTATTCTCCCTTAATCACATATCCCCAACCTCTAAGGAACCCCATGAGACTTGCACCCAGTGGAGAAATGGGCAGTGGCAACTTGTCCCGGCTGAACCCCTGAACCTGTCTACAAAGCCCCCTTTTCCTGACTTCCCAGTGAGCCAGAGCAGCCCAGCCTAGGCTCTCCTGCTGCTTCTTCTAGGCCTTTCCTTGTTGCACTGTCCTGATATATTTTTGCTGCCATCATGGACCCAATACCCTTTGGCTCAGGGCTGTGCAGCCCTTCCCTTGGGATATCCCCATCTCCAACCCCTTTTCCTTAAATAAATTCAATTTTTCTTTAATCACCGTCTGAGGTGGCTATTTAGCCTGCCCTTGCACCACTGGCTTTAACCTTTCAATAAGTATATATATTTCAATATAATTGGTTTCCTTTGTAACCTTACAAATTGTATTTTATATGATTAAAAACATCATTTTAAGAAATGGTCCACAGATATAACAGTTGGCCAAAGGGGTCCATAACACAAAAAATAAGATTAAGAACCCTGCAAAGATACAGGGAGAACAGACTGCCACCACCTCCACTGATCATGGTGGTGAAAAAAGAACAGCTTCTAGCTACAGAAGATGCTCATCTTCAAGCATAAGGCTGGAA